GCCAAGCCTATTGTTGAACCGCCAGCGGTGTACTTTGTTTCTTCTCTGGCTGGCACCGCCAGCCATTGTGGTCCGGCAAGAGCCTCTGAAATTTGAGGAGTGAGCCATGAGTTTTTCGACATTGGCAGGGGCCGTGTCCTGGCGATTAAAAGCATAAGCAGGCTATTTCTGTCCTCCACCGAGGCTGGTGAACCACTACATACAAAACAGCGAGTTCGCAGTTACTTTTAGGAAACAACGGGCGGTGAGGTTACACAGCACCCAAATTTTGGCGATCTGTTGACTCATCCGGGGCAATGAGAGTACGCCCTCAATTGAGGCATTCAGACTTGTGGGCCCATCTAGATATGGGTTATGGCTTGCCTGTTCCCCCATTTCCGGCATTGGATAATATATATAAAACTCAATTTCACAAGAGAGTCCGGCTAACACGGCATGACCTTTCAGGTGAGTGCCAACATGCAATTCCACTAATGGGCCCTGACCGCCCTTCTCAATCTACAACATCACATTTTGATGGTCTCCCAAGGGCCTGGGTCGAACCTGGCACACAGACTAGACCAGCCAGCCAACACTAAAACACTAGCAAACAAGTGACCCACAATGATCTAGAACTAAGGATGACTATCGAAGAGTCGCACTGACAACTACAACCACGAGGATCACCGTCATGACAACAAGGCGGCAATGGAACCGATGATCACTCTAAGAAATGCACTAAGAACACCAAAAAGTGAAGGCAGCTTTCTCGGTCTCTACTGAGACTGAGGTGCGAAAGCATTGGCCTGGTTCCTGCTCTTTGAGGCCTGGTATGTGCGCTGCCTGGACGGCCCACAAGAGTGTTTTTGCTTTGGCTCCAGAAGGAAGAAAAACGTGGTAGAGTCGAAAATCGTCAGGGGTCACAAGCCGTGAAGCGCAGCCAATATGGTACGTGCGCTGCCTGGAGGGCCCACAAGAGGGTTTTTGCTTTGGCTCCAGAAGGAAGAAAAACATGGTAGAGTCGGAAATCATCAGGGGTCGCAAGCCGCGAAGCACAGCCAATAAACAGCTTCCTCCACCAAGCCCATCTTATAGCCATCAAGCAAAAACCCTCTTGTGGGCCCTCCAAGTACGATCCTACTCGTTGTAATCAACGACTCCAAGTGCGATCCTACTCGTTGTAATCAACGACTCCGAGTACGATCCTACTCGTTGTAATCAACAACTCCAAGTACGATCCTACTCGTTGTAATCAACGACTCCAAGTACTATCCTACTCGTTGTAATCAACGACTCCAAGTACGATCCTACTCGTTGTAATCACAAAGCACATCAACGACAGTACGATCCTACTTGTTGTAATCAACGACTCCAAACCAAATAGTTCTTCAAACAACAACAAAAACGGCAACAGGCGGCAGCCTGCATCCGGCATGGCAAAGTCAACCATCATCACAGGAACACAAAGCAGCTCAGCTCAGGTGTTCGAATGCCATCGTCATAAGGATCACCGCATCCTCGTTATGACAGTCATCAAGCAAAGGTCTGTGTACTTGGGATGGTACATAAACAACCTTTCACAGAGAATGATAACTTTTCTCTGTATCCTTCCAGTCTCCTAGATGTTCCAAACGTATCTGGGTCTGATATTGGGCCCCGATACACTCAAATGTCGGAACATATCTGGATCACGAAACAATCAACATGGATTTACAATGTTGTATGGTGGAGGAGAGGCCTTTTGTCTGTATCCTTTCAGTCTAGTGGATACTTCCACTTCTCACAAATATTTCGGAAACAAAACAAGAGCGCAATATTAGTCCAGAAAAAAACCCTTTTTTTTAACCCAGTTTTTGTTAACCATTTCTTTTACATTCCAGTGAAGAATAAAATAAAATAAAAAACATTCTAGTGAAAATTTCAGGAAAAAAAGAAAGAAGGAAAGAAAAGGGAAAACTAAAAGAAGAAACGACGGTGCACTTTCATTCATCCGGTCAAATACTTCTTTTTTTTTTGAAGACCAATACTTTTTAGCCCAAATCCAAGTTTTCGACTTTCTAGCCCAGAGCTCAAAGGAAAAGGAAAAAGAAAAAAAGAAAAAAAAAAGGACAAAGAAAAAAAAAAAAAAAGGGAAATTTTCAAAATGCCCCTGAAGTTTCGATTAATTTGCAGCATGCCCCTCTGACGGCCGACTTACCCTGTCGTGCCCCTGGGACCACTGGTGGTGTTTTGTCGGTCCATCCTCGAAATGCCCTTACAAGCGGCATGCATCTTTCCGTGACGCCCTTGCAGCAGTGGCGGCAGGAATTCAAATTCGAAGTGGTCGGTTTTTGTCGCGCCGCCACAGAAAAATGGTGCAGCAGTCAGTCTCGTCACGTTCGCTGGTCAGAGTTGGCATTCGACTTCACCGCCTTCGAGTTTGCCGCGTAGGGGATCACTGTGTTGGAGTTCGTTGGCCTACTGTGCGAAGGTGAGCATGCATGCGCGCACGCGCGCGCATGTGTGTGTGTGTGTGTGTGTGTGTGAGAGAGAGAGAGAGAGAGAGAGAGAGAGAGAGAGAGAGAGAGAGAGGATGAGCAATGCACCAGCCAACAGGTAAGTCTCCAACCCCACGGCTGGCCTCACGCTGCTGGAAATTTCTGATATGCCCCGGTAGCACCTCTCCGGGGGCCAGGGGAAAGACTGCAAGTGTCAACAACAGCGACAGGGCATGCTGGAAAGAATAACGGTACTGGTAAGGGCATTTAGGAAACTTTTATGTTGGTTCTCAACGGGGCACTACAAGGTATCGGTAGGGGCATATGAAACATGTTTCAGGCCCAAACAACGCCAGGGGTTTTGTGGAAACATCATTCGTTGTCAGAGGGGCACTACAAGGTAAGTTGGCCATCAGAGGGCCATGCCCCAAATTAGACAAAACTTGACAAAACTTCAGGGGCATTTCGAAAATTTACCCCCCCAAAAAAAGAAAAAAGAAAAGAAAAAAGAAAAAAGAAAGAAAACAATGAGGGTGCACTACCTTTACCTTTGTTCTTTGTGCTCTGTATTCCTGCACATGTGCTGTTCAGGCCATACTCAGATGAGGACTTTCCTGAATGCATGTATCTAACCTCTTTTGCGGCCAGGGGTGGATGCACCTGACCACATCTACGAACCCGGATAAGTTACAAAAAGAACCTTGTTCGTACATGCTCCTTCAAATCTGTATCAACTCCGTAACAATCGGCCTCAGTCCACTACACAACATCCTGAATGCATCTGGAAAGTTTTATGATCTCAATACATTCCCAATGTTGGATAAATCCGAATGTAACTGGACAGTAAGGCAGTCCATATACATGTAGAATGTTGTGTAGTGGAGCGAGGCTAAAACCACCACTACCCCCGCCGTCATAAATTAAGGGGAACCGGTAGCACAGGTCCATGAGGGCTACCAGTAGTACAGTGGGGGGAACTGGCAGAGTGGCAAACTTCAAATATGCGTCGAATAACCCCCCCAATTTATTTTGCGGTTCAAATTTTTTATTTTTTATTTTTTTAATATTTTCCCTGTAAAGATCACGACAAAATCTACGAACCCTCGAATTTTCAGAGTTGTCGGGTCATCCTTCTGATCGCAAAAAATCGCGAAAGTTGGGTTTCTTTTCCCGTTGGCCCATTCGTGGTAGAGTAGCAAAAATGGAAAATGTGACGAAACGGCGCAGCATTTACTTCACGGTCTTTTTTTTTCTCATTTTTTTGATATTTTTCCCAGAAAGATCACGGCCTAATATACAGGGGCCTGGACCCACTAGCGAAGTACTCTACGATGTGTGACGCACTTTTATGGCTTTTTGGAAAATACAAAGTGATTTTCTATTTGCATGAATGGATCGTTTTCTGATTTAAAATGAATTGAAATAGCACATAAAAGTATGAAGAACAGCTGTGCACCCGAATTCATGGGCTGGTACAATCTCCTTCACATAAGTCTTCATAGCGATGTATGGTGGCAATAAAATGTGTCCACGAACACGGCCACGAGGATGAACAAGTAATGGCTATAGGGATACATTCATCCCCATGTATCTCATGATGCCTCTAACAGGCCCTCCGACAGACGCGGAAGCGTTCCTGTCAGATCCACCACGGCATCTCAATTTCACATTTCAAGTTCTATTTCTCAGAGCAAAAAAAAAAAAAAACGAAATCTGGAAATCAACCCCCCCCCCTTTAGAGCCCATAAAATCCAGACTTCCCGCCCACGCAAAGCCACGAGCTATCATGTCCAAGTTAGTCCAACTTTTTTTTTTTTTTTTTTYSRAYGCATCTCATTGGACGGGAGGTGGGCATCTTTACAGTCCCCGCTCGGAAACTACCAGGCCGTCGAGATCCGATGTATTCGACGGGCCGTACTGAGTCACTCGATGCCACACATGATCGAAATCCTGAACGGCGTGGTAGAATACCTTGCTAGTGGGTCCAGGCCCCAGGATATCAAATTTTCAGATTTTTTTGTCAATTTTTCTGAGCGCGAAAAATCGCCAAAGTTCGCGCTTATTCTTGGGCCCGGACCCACCTTCGCCTGCCGGTCGCCGTCCCCCCTAAGAACCCGGTCCGTAAGGCCAGGAAAGTCCATTTTAGGTCGGCGGGGGTAGTGGTGGTTTAATATCTATCATCACCTCACAGTCTCAAGTAATAAACTAGAGCGAACAATAACAACTGAAAAAACAAAGAGAAAAACATCTCTCTATCTCTCTCTCACACACACACACACACACACACACACACACACACACACACACACGTGCTGCCATTGCTGGAAAAGTGAAAAAGAGTCCGCACACTTGCTGGAACTGCTCCTCTCTTCCACACACACACACAATCCCTCCCTCATTTTTTAGCACACAACAGGATGGCTGGGATCTGGCTCCTCTCTACCACACACACACACACACACACACACACACACACACCTCCCCTTTCAGCACACGAGAGGATGGCTGGTTTCCTAATCAGGAAAGCTGCAACATCATGCATACCTTGTGATGGTGATGATGACTTGCCACTGCCAGCCCCGCGATACCTGCAGGCAACTCTCTTCCTCCAAGAACCATTAAAACCATTTCCATCTTTGGGATGCGTGTGTTTGATTATTAAAAAAAAAAAAGAGAGAGGAAACCGACCACCAAAAGAACAAAGAGACGAAACACAGAAAAACAAAGAGACGAAACACAGAAAAACAACAGCAACAAAAAAAAGGGTAAGTACACGGACTGAAAACTTGGGATGCGTGTGTTTTATCTTTAAAAAAAAAAAAAAAAAAAAAAATCGGATTGCCNGGGGGGGGGGGGGGGGGGGGGAGCGCTGGGGTTGGACCACCCACCCACACCCCACAGAAGTAGGCTATACGCCAATCAATCAATTAATCTTTTTTATTTTTAAATCAATCAATCAACCACTCCTGGTTGTTCATTTCCTTGATCTTTTTCTTTATTATCCTTTTTGCTTTGGTCATTCTTTTTTTTTTTTTTTCCTAGTCGTTCTTTTTGCCCGGAAGAAGTAGACAATACTGTAGTGTGATGGTATAGGAGCTGCTTTTCTGCCAAGGACAACGGCTGGGATCCTTTGATTCACTACATGTTCCTCCCCCTCTCCCCCCCCCTCCCCCCTTCCCCCTCTCTTTTAAAAGGGAGACGGCCTTGAGATATCATCACTGAACTGACCGGCCCCAGGCAATTCAGAAATATTAAGGTTTTTTTTTACTCATCAATCATTTGGATTCGAACACTGGTCTGTATTTCAACAGCTCACGCGTGTACCAACTGAGCTGGGCTCGCAGGTAGGCTCACAGGTAGGCTCAACTGAGCTAGGCTCACAGGTAGGCTCAACTGAGCTAGGCTCACAGCTAGGCTCAACTGAGCTAGGCTAGGCTCACAACTAGGCTCAACCGAGCTAGGCTAGGCTCACAGCTAGGCTCAACTGAGCTAGGCTCACAGCTAGGCTCAACTGAGATAGGATCAACTGAGCTAGGCTCAACTCAGCTAGGCTCACAGCTAGGCTCACAGCTAGGCTCACAGCTAGGCTCAACTGAGTTAGGCTCACAGCTAGGCCCAACTGAGCTAGGCTCACAGCTAGGCCCAACTGAGCTAGGCTCACAGCTAGGCTCACCGGTTACCAAAGTTATGTTTTGGTTTAGAGTTCAACCACCAGTGTATGGCCCAAGGCAACTGGAGAACACGTTTTGAGCCTCTCCGAGAATTGAGGAGGCCGAGCACCTTGGATAAAATCAATCGGCGGTGGCCGCCCACCTCCGAAACGGGCCCGCGGCCGAAAGCTGGCATGTACTGGTGGTTTAAAGCAGTTAAATGGTAGAATCTTGGTCCAAGGGGGACCGTAGCTGGCATGTACTGAGTAAGGTTCTCAGCATCCGGGTTGAATTCTGAGGTCCCCGGCCTTGAGCCCCTTTTAAAATTGAATCGCATTTGTTTGGTTATTAAAAGAAAAGAAAAGAAATAGGATCGAACTTGTCCGGACCAATCTCTCTCTCTCTCTCTCTCTCTCTCTCTCTCTCTCTCTCTCTCTCTCTCTCTCTCTCTCTGTGTGTGTGTGTGTGTGTGTGTGTGTGTGTGTGTGTGTTTGCTTG